TTCCTCCTCTTCATTATCCCTGTTCCTCTTCCTCCTCTTCATTCCCCCCTGTTCCTCTTCCTCCTCTTCATTCCCTTCTGTTCCTCTTCCTCCTCTTCATTCCCTTCTGTTCCTCTTCCTCCTCTTCATTCCCTTCTGTTCCTCTTCCTCCTCTTCATTATCCCTGTTCCTCTTCCTCCTCTTCATTCCCCCCTGTTCCTCTTCCTCCTCTTCATTCCCTTCTGTTCCTCTTCCTCCTCTTCATTCCCTTCTGTTCCTCTTCCTCCTCTTCATTCTCCCTGTTCCTCTTCCTCCTCTTCATTCCCCCCTGTCCCTCTTCCTCCTCTTCATTCCCCCTGTTCATCTTCCTCTTCACCCATTCCTCCTCTTCATTCCTTTCTGTTCCTCTTCCTCCTCTTCATTCCCCCCTGTTCCTCTTCCTCCTCTTCATATCCCCTGTTCCCCTTCCTTTCCATTTCCCCCTGTTCCTCTTCCTCTCCACCCGTTCCCTCCTCTTCATTTCCCTTCTTCCAATCCACCCGTTCCTCCTCTTCCTCTCCAACCGTTCTCCTCTTCATCACCCCCTGTTCCTCTTCCTCCTCTTCATCTCTCCCTGTTCCTCTTCCTCTCCATTTCCCCCTGTCCCTCTTCCTCTCCACCCGTTCCTCCTCTTCATTCCTACTGTTCCTTCCTCTCTGTTCCCTTCTTCCAATCCTCTTCCTCCTCTTCATTATCCCCTGTTCCTCTTCCTCTCCATCCACTCTTCCTCCTCTTCATTTCCCTTCTTCCAATCCACTTACTCCTCTTCATTATCCCCTGTTCCTCTTCCTCTCCATCCACTCTTCCTCCTCTTCATTTCCCTTCTTCCAATCCCCTTCCTCCTCTGCATTATCCCCTGTTACTCTTCCTCTCCATCCACCCGTCCCTCCTCTTCATTTCCCTTCTTCCAATCTCCTTCCTCCTCTTCATTATCCCCTGTTCCTCTTCCTCTCCATCCACTCTTCCTCCTCTTCCTCCTCTTCCTCCCTTCCCACAGCAGTGAAAATCGCCTTAGGTCTCTCTCTCCCGCTCCCTCGCGCCCTCCGCCCTGACAGACACGCAGGAAAAGATTTATATTCATAATTCTCTAACGAAATCCTTCACGTCTCTAGGGATCTCCTTTGGCAAAGAAAATGTAAGTAAATGAAGGAAGGAAAGAATAATGATAATGCTAATAATAACATAGTGATGATAATAATAATAATGATAATAATGATAATAATAATAATAATAACAATAACAATATCATTATTAATAATAATAACAATGATAATAATAATAATAATAATAACAATAATAATAATAATAATAACAATAATATTAATAATAATAATAATAATAACAACAACAATAATAATAATAACAATAATGACAAGAACAACAACAAAAATAACAATGGCAATAAAAAAATAAAAAAAAAAAAAAAAAAAAAAATCAAAGGATCCTCCCCCTTCCTATTTTTGAAAAGCTCTCCCCCCACAAAAAAAAATCGCAAAAAGAAAACGAAAAAAAAAAAAAAAACGAAAAAAAATCAGCAACTCCGAGGCTGACGCAATGAAGATTAAGAAGTTTAAAAAGACAAACACAGGGAGATTTAATCCTCACGCGATAGTGAAGGCGAGGTCGGTCGGGCGGGGAAGTGACAGGGGGGGAGGGGGGGAGGGTGTGATAATGGGGGGAGGAAATGGGGGGGTGAGGGGGGGTGGAAGATGCAGGGACGGGACAGGAGGAGGGACAGGGGTGGAGAGGGGGAGGAAGAAGAAGAGGAGGCGGAGGACGAAAGGGGGACAGGCGCGCCCTTTCAATGTCTTTCCTTTCTGTATCTTTTCCTTCCTATTTCAGGAAATTAGCAAGAAACCCCTTGTTACTCTCTCTCTCTCTCTCTCTCTCTCTCTCTCTCTCTCTCTCTCTCTCTCTCTCTCTCCCTCTCTCTCTCTCTCTCTCTCTCTCTCTCTCTCTCTCTCTCTCTCCCTCTCTCTCTCTCTCTCTCTCTCTCTCTCTCTCTCTCTCCCTCTCTCTCATCGTCTCCCTAATCTTTGCAAGCCCCGCCTGCACTTCCTCTTTCGCTCCTCTCTCTTTTCCCTTCCAATTTTCTTCCTCCTTCCCCTCCTTATTCCCCCCCCCCTTCCAAACACCCATCTACTCCCCCCAAACCCACCAACCCATACCCAAACCCCCAATACCCCCACACAAGCACCCCCACCCACACGCCCACACGCCCACAATCAGGCGTACTCCCACCCTAAGCGCTCTTCCTCTGTGTAATTCTACCTGGCCCTCTCGCGAGATGATAAGAAGATATCCAAAGGCCCGGCTCGAACAAACCTTGAGGAGAAAATATTGTTTACTTGACAAACAGTAAGCTCGCGCCGGGCTGGAATATTGGCTGTTGGCTGAACTTCTCCTCCTTCCCCCCTCCCCCCCTCCCCCCCTCTCCTTCCTCATCCTCCCTTCTCCCTTCTCCTTCTTCATGCTCCTTCCTCATTCTCCTCCTCCTTTCCCTTCCCCCTCCCTCTGCTCCTTCTCTCTGTCTCTGTCGCTCTCTCTCTCTCTCCCTC